CCAGACTGGCCCCTAAAATGTGTTTTAAAAACTAGCAAAGATGAATTGAAGGGGGGTGGGATTTGCCTACCAGATAATAAAGACTTACTATTAAGCTAGATAATGAGTGTGGAGAGACCAGACCAGAGGCTGGCGAGTAGGAAGGGCGGCACCAGGGCAGGCACAGCCAGTGTGGCATCCAGGACCTGATGCTGGCAGTCATGTGCCCTAAGGAAAAAGGTGAGACGGGGTCCTGTTGGTCAGGATGGAATAGGTCACGCTGCGGAAAACACAAGCCCCCAACTTGGCAGCTTCACACAATGAACATTCCCTCCCCGTGCCTGTGACATGCCCTGCGCAAGTGGGCTCTCTGATGATGACAGCAGACCCTTCCCCACACCACACAGTCAAGGTTATGAGGGGATTCAAGACTCAATGTAAAACGCAAAACACTAAAACTTGGGAACACAGGGTCATGTCTTTGTCCCCTCCAGTAGGGGAAGATTTAAGAAGAGTCTTGCATGCAGAACTGGGCACTTCCTGCTCCAGGGGCCTGGAGGGGCTCTATGCACAGGCACTTGACGCCACACAGAAGGCCACTCGTGACAGCACGGCCCAAAAGTGCAAAAATAAAAAAGAAATCATCTTGTGTGATATTATGTGCTAAATTGTGTCCCCCCCCTCAAATTTATATGTTCGAGCTCTCAGAATGTGACTATATTTGGACATAGGGCCTTTAAAGGGGTGATTAAGGTTAAATGAGGTCATATGGGTAGGCTCTAACCCAATCTGACTAGAGTCCATATAAGAGATTAGGACACAGACAAGCACAAAGGGACAACCATGAGAGGACATAGTGAGAAGATGGCCATCTACAAGCCAAGGACGCCTCAAAAGAAACCAATCCTGTGGACACCTTGATCTTGGACTTCCAGCCTCCAGAACTGTGAGAAACTACAATTCCATTGTCCAAGCCATGCAACCCCAGCAAATTCACTCCAGAATCGTCCCACAGGAATTGACTCAGGCCCACCCCCCACTTCCTCGATGGCTGTACTGTAGTGTCCCGTTGAGTGGATGCTCGGTCTTCTCAACGCTGAGTGCCCTACCCCACAGGAGGACTAGACGCTCTCGTCCCTTGGAACTCTGGTGTGGCTCGGTGGCTTCCTTTGGTCATGAGAACAGAAGGGGAGTGACACGTATCACTGGTGGATCACTGTGGTCTTTCCCATCTCTGTGGTCATGGAGAATTCCTGACATTCCAGTGCAACTCCTGTGGGCACAGGCCCCTGAGGGACTGCAGTAGGCAGCGGGTACCCTGACTGATCCGTGAGGACGAGTGGCTGAGATGCTGGTTTTTGTTACTGCACCACAGTCGGGCTCATCCTGACTGATACAGTGGGGTAACAGCTCTGCTGACCTTGCTCCTTACCCCTGGACCTTTGGGCTGTTGCCAGTTTTTCTGTTAATAATGCAGCACCACCCATGAGGCAGTCATTAGGGCTCAGGCCACTCCATGCCTGTGACCTCATTTAACTCTCCCATGGCCCTGAGGACAAACTTCTAACAGCTCAGAGAGGTCAGATGACACCAGGATGCACAGCTTTCAAGTGGAGGAGGTGAGGTGTGACCAAGCTCAAGTCCATGCTCTGAAGCCCACACCTTGGAACGAGCAGCAACCATCTGCACTTAGGCAAGGGGTCAGCGCCTGCTGCCTACAAACGCCGTGTGGGTGACTCGTAACACCTGATGCTCAACCAGTAGCAGGAGAAAGCTTATTTCTCCACGCCTTCAGCCAATCTGGGCAGCTAAAACTTTTCAAGTCCTGGAATCACAGGCAGAAAAAAAAATCCACCCACACTTCCTTGTAATGCTTTTGTTATTTTTTAATGTTGAACCCTTTAATCCATCTAGAGTACAGACTGGTATAAAGAGTGAGGTAGGTATCCAGTTTTACTATTTTTCAGATGGCTAACCAGCTGTCCCAACTCCTTTTACTGAATAATCCATCTTACCCTACTAATTTGAAACACCACCTTTAGCATAAACTAAATCCCTATATTTATTTGGCTCTATATCAAAATTCTCTACTCTCCTCTGTTCATCCGTCCACACCAATTTCCAAGTACGCTCATTACTGCCAGCTTTATAAAATGTTGACATTAACCTCAATACTTCCAGTGTCAGAACTTTCCTTGGAGACAGGTACTTTAAAAACTCTGCTATAGTGCCCACAGCATCTGATCTTTAGGAAATAAAGTCTCCGGGTATTTCCAAGGGAAGTGAAGGACAGACTCGACGGCCTAGAAGTTAGGCCCCAGCACCTCAGCTTGTCCCTGTGCACATCTGGCACACCCTGCCAGACCACCCTGCCAGACCACCCTGCCAGGCCGCTCCCAGGAGCACCCTCCTCTGTGCCGTCCACCTGTGTGCGGAGAGCCGGGAGCAACAAATGACCCAAGGGCCCTCCTCTGACAGCACGTGGCAGGGCCCCTTCTCCTGGCCCTCTGTTCCTTCTCCTCCAGCCTGGGAAAGCAGCTAGGTCGTCGCATAGACCTGAAGGCAGGGTATAGCGCCAGCAGGAGATGAAGCTGTCACTCTGCACAACACTGTAGGCTCTGCCTGTCTGGAAGGCCAAGCTAGAGGCCTCCCATCCTCTCCTGATCCCATCCATGCAAATAGGCATGAAAGGGCAACTTTGCCATTGCCACTGAGGCCCAGCCCTCCTTTCCCTTCCTTCATGATAAGAGCCCAACCACAACAGGACCCATTTTCCAAATTAAAAAACAGGTCATCTGGTCTCTCCCCAAATCCCCACAGGCCTGCCCTGCTGAGCTGGCCCTCGGAAGAGGTATGCCACACTACACTCCAAGCCTGCAGGAGCTGTCTGGGCCCGAGGGAGAAAAGGACCCAGTAGGACAAGGGGTTGGAAGGGAAGACAGGAACCTTGAGCTGCAGGAATTACTCCAGGTCCACTAAATGGAGAGGGGAAAGGCAGCCTGTGCCGAGGCCAGCAACACAGTGAGGGTGTCGACTGGGCCAGCCATCTCAGAGAGCAGCTCTAGGTTCTACAGCCAGAGCTGTCTCGTCAGCTCAAATGAGGGCCCTTCTGATATCGCCAACGATACCAGACCCACCAGGCCAGGCCACAGCCGACTAGGGAAGGGGCAGTCCAACCTGAGCCTGCAGGAGGGCCCAGACTTGAGCAATAGCACAAAGGAGCAATAGTGCGACCCCGCACAGAAGCACTGGGGCTGGGCTAGGACATCCGAGGATCGCCCACATCTGATCAGAATCAAGACTGCACACTGATTTCATTTGTCGGCTTGCTTGTTTTGCTTTTGGGGTCATATTAGCTTCCCACCTATTTCCAAGATTTGCAACTGTTCTACTCGTAAGGTAGAATCTGTACCTTGAAATAACTCACCCACAAAACCATCTGAACCCAGAGACTTCTAAAGTGATAGTTACTAAATTAAATTATCCTAACAATGTCTATTTTCCTTAAAATTTTTTACCCATGTTTGCTTATTAGTTTTTCCTTAAAAAAAAAACAGTTTTAGGAACTTATTACATTTCTCACTTTTTCTTCCTACTTTCTAGGAAGATGTTGTTTTGTTCCCACACTTATAAAACTGAAAGGGGCTTGAAGTTCTTGCCTAACGGCCCCTCTGAGTAGGTGCACTGTGCCCATCCTGTGTCACACTTGGCTTGAGGGAGCTTTGAGCTCAGCTCTCATTATTAGAAAACCCATCATTGTGCAGAACAGGTCTTTCTTCATTCCAATCCTCTAGCCCGAGGCCTCACAGCTCTGGTCTGCTGCCTGCTCCTCATGTCACCTCACCTCGGCTCTCTCGGAAGTAAACTCTCAAGGCCACCCTCCACCTGCCAAGCCTCCCACTCTCATCCATTCAGCCCAGCTCCGTCAGCCAGACCCTTAGAGCCTCAAAGCCCTTACCAGAAACCACACCTCTGACGCTGAGCTGAGTACTTGTGGCTGGGCCTAGCTCTTCCCGACAGCACCAGCACACTGATCCTGCCCACAGAACCAGGATGCTGCTTGTCTGCAGCCACCACAGCACAGGCTCAGCCATGGATCCAACACACATTTAATGAGCACTGATTGTGCACCACGGACACAGAGCTACGAGAGAGCACCCTGCCCTAGAGGCTCACAGTCTACCCAGAGATATGAGTATTACAGGCTTTACAGTATTGGGTTTAAATGCTGAATCAGCAATATGCAAGAGTGGGAGGGGAGGCAGGGACTGCTAAAGAGCAGCAAGTAGGAGGGCAGCAGGGCAAAGGCACTGAGATGTAAAAATTCATGCCAACTTCTGAAGAAAACCAGGAGTGGCTAGATGTTACCATACAGAGCGGAAAATGCCTGGAACAGAGCTGAGACCAGCAAGAGGACTGCACCCCACCTTCCTGCACCTAAGCCTCCCCAGCCAGCCAGGGCTGCTGGGGGACCCACAGGGAAGCACCTTTCTCTGCCAAGACACCATCCTACTCATACCAAACACTGCAGGCGGCCACGTCCTCCATGCAGCCTTCCTTAAATTCCAGGACAGAGGTCACAGAAAACAGAGATGGGACGGGGGCCAAAGCAGAGACACCATCTATGGACCAGATCCAAACAGGGCTGGCATGGCAGACCTAGTCCAGTCCCAGCCAGCACTGGAGGGGCGTTTTTGAGTGTGGGTGGTGTTTTACAAAGATGGTACAAATACCTGATGGGGACTATCTACAGAACCCTATCCAACTAGTAGGAACAGGCCCAGTGAGACGGTACTCCCCAGGGAGGTGTGGGCATGCAGCTGAGAGCCCAGCAGGAAACAACCTTTGGGCCACTGGGGGAGTCAGAGGATGAAGGGCACAGAGCAGAAGCCGAAGTTCTGCTGTCGTGGTGGGGACAGTGCACGGGGAGAGAGGACGAGGGGCTGTGCGTACTTGGATAGGGCACAGCCCAACAAGTGCACCTTGTGCCCAGCAACGGGGCGGTTGGACATGGCAACACCTCATGTGCTATGTCTAGAGTCATCCGGTAACGCCACTCTGTCCTGCCAGGGGGGGCTGTGGGGCTCCTTGGCTACACAAGCCATTTCATCACAAGGGGCTCTGCTGCACCTGCCTGGGCCGTGTTCAGAATCCAGGGCTGCAGGATGGAGAGCAGGAGAAAATGGTGGTTCTCCTAGGGTCTCCACTGCTCCCCGTAGGGTACCAAAAGTTGCCTCCTGGTCTCCCTCTGCCTCAGAAACCTCCTCCTCTGTCTTCTGGATCCCCTGGGTGAGCTGGATCTGATTTCTGGGCAGGGGGACTAGCAGATTCTAAAAGTACAGGGACAGGTTTGGGGGCCATCTCCTCCGGCTGGGAGGAGGCTGGCCCCACAGGACCAGGATCCATGCTGCACACAGAACCGGACAAGGCAGGGGACTCTGTGGACCCAGGGCTTCTCTCCTTGGCCAGCTGTTGCTCAGGCAAAGCAATCCTGGATGGAGAGTTGGAATTAGAAATAGCCGGGGTGGCCAGAGTGGCTGGGACAGGCCTGGGGGGAGTGCCCATGTTGAGTGCCAGGGCCTCTGAGAACCTGGCTAAGCACTTCCTCACCACAGGCAGCTGCAGGGCCACTGGTGACTGGCTTGAGGCTAGGGGCAGGGGGCAGGGAACTGCAGCATGGTACTCAGCGAAGTTGTTCGGGTCTTGAAAAACTTCCTCGAGATCCTGGCAAAAGAGCTCATAATCGTCAGGCAGGGGCAGGTCCCCGTCGAGGTAGGGGGCTGCCCATGCCCGGGCTCGGCCCGTCAGGCGCCCAAGGATCTCGCAGACAGGGCTGAGGTTGTCCTGGTAGTGCTCGAAGCGGAAGGACATATAATCTCCCAGCTGGGCCAAAAAGTGGTCCAGCAACCATGGGGAGCCATCTAAGGTGCCCGGGTCCGAGCCTGGCACCCAGTGGAAGTCCACCCTGAGGGGCCATGAGCCAGGCATGCGCACAGCTGGGAACCCCTTTCTGTGGGCTTACCGCCGAGAGCACCACTCACTGTGCTCTCCTGCTCCATAGTCATGCGCACACACATGGGGTCCCCACAACAGGGCCGCTCAATCCAGGGATCCACTAGGGGGGTGTAAGTGACCCCAGGAGAGGCCTGGTCCACCTGCTGCCAAGGATGCACATTGACGTAATTGGCTGCTGCCTGGATAGGATTGCGAGGACCCTGCCGACGGTGCTGGCCACGAGGCATGCTGGGAGCAGAGGGAGCTGCTGCGCCAACTACAAGAAGGAAGGGGAGAAAGGAGGAAGAGACGGCGCAAAGGGCGGGTGGGCAGAAACAACACATAAGATACAACAGGACAGAGATGGGCTGAAGAGGGGTGTGGCCAACCCCAGTGTTCCAGGCAAGTGCTGAGGGCCAGGGGAGCTGACAGCTGCGGCCTCAGGAGAGCTGAGAAGAGGTGATGGGACTGTCAGTCGCAGGCCAGCATCCGAGGCAATCTGTCCAAAAACAAGGTGGGAAGAGCGGAAACTAGGCCCAACCATCACTACCAGGCTGGCAGGAGGAGGCAACAAGCCGGCAAATCCCTGGTTCCCCACTAAGAGCTCCGTGTGGAAGGAGGTCCAGGAGGCCGGCCTGGGAGGTTCAAGACGGCAGGCAAATGCCACCTGTGATGTTTCAAGGAAAAGGTGTGACGGCAGATGCTGTCAGTCTCAGGAGAAGGAAAGGGGGCCCGATGGGAACCCCCTGGGCTTCCTTGGACAGCCTGGCTGTCAGGAAACTTCAGGAGGAGAATGACAGTAGCAACCTTCTACTGAGTGCTCCACCTGCGCCGAGTACCTACCCCCTGATGCGGCTGGTACTCTTATCACCCCAAGGCAGAGTGGTGAGTGAAATCACTTGTCTGCAGCCACACACCAACCACTAAGTGGCCGAAGCAGCTGAACCCGGCTCTAGAGACCACACATTTAACCACTTCACCACACCGGTTATGAACTACACTTCACAATCTGCTGAGGAGGAGTCTCCTGGTTGCCCCAAACACTGTAACTGTTAAATACACAGACTGTGTCATAAGATTCTTTTAAAGCACAGCACCAGGAGCACGGTAGGTGCTACCTGCACAACTGAGAGAAGCCTGGGGCCCCGCTATTCCCCTCCAGCCTCCCCGCCAAGCTTTCCAGTCTCACCTCACCAGTCAGAGGGCAGCCTGCAGGCAATACCATCCCCACCCCGAACACCACCTCCCTGCATCCCCGTCCGCCAACAGCCTCACATCTGACCCCCCAAGTTTAATCTCACTTGCTGTCTTCTCTCACCACCCCAAGATCACTCCTGCAAAGGGCCTGGAAAGCAGTGGTCACCAACCCCGAGCAGCCTAAAGAGCCCTGAAGTGGAGAGGAGGCTGCAACCATCAGCAGATACAGTTCTCTTCCAGTACAAGGAGCCCTCTCCTGGGGCTCTCACACTCCACCTAGCCTGACTGGTGCCACCTTCCCAGTCTCTCCGCAAAGGGAGGTCCACTCGAGGCCTCCACAGAACTTTCTCTGCTTCACTCCTCCTTGTGCAATTTTCCCAGTAACCCCTGCACACGTAACCCAATGCTACATCAGCTCACACTGAGGGGCACCACGGCCTGCACACACCCTCGTACACCAGTCAAGCCCCCTCACCAAGCTCTGAGAAAGTAATAACCATGAACACACCTCAGCTCCTACCAGCAATCTGAGGTTGCGGGTCAGGTTGCCGGCAAAGAGCACATTGCATGCCCAGAAACTAGTGCACTACGCAGGTCTCCGCCTTCCTTTCTCCCAGTCCCAACCGCCCACCTCCACTCAGAATGCTAGCTGTCACTCTGCCCATTCATCTTCAAGCCTCTGTGCCCCCTGCAGGCAAGGAGAAGGTTGCCCTGCGCCAACCACCCAGCCCTGCTTGGCCTTGAACCTCCCTAAGCCAGGTGTGACTCTCAGCACTTTGATAACCTTGACCCTCCCGTGCCTGTCAATCTGTTGGACGCTCCCGCTTCTCTCCCCACCCTGCCTGGCGCTGAGGAACTGGGGCCCTTCTCTTGGTCTGGACAGCTCCCCACGCGGCGCAGGCGCATCGGCCTCCGCAAAACCTAAGGCAGCGCCTGGAACACGCGAGCGATCTCTGCTCCAGGGAGACCCGGGCCCCGGGAGTGGAAGAGCCTGCCCAAAGCTTCAAAGCGCGTGGAGGACAGCCCACTGTACCCCCTCCCACAGCCGGCATGCAGGGAGCGGGGAGACGCGCTCCCGGCCCCGCCGCGATAAGAAGCCGACCTACCTACGGCTCCGCGAGGCGCCCGCGAAGAAGGTCCAGGGATGTGCAGCCAGGCCGTGCGGACGGCTTCCCTCCGAGGGCGAGTCCCAGTGCCACCTAGAAAGTGGAGAACAAGACCGCCGCCGTGAGGCCAGAGGGCGCGACCCCCGGGGAGGGCGGGAGACCCCGAGATGACTCCGGGCGGCCCGGCCCGCGGCGGGATCCAAGGCGGGGCTCCGAGCGCCTCTCCGCGGACAGGGAATCGGGAAGGGACGGAAGAGCGGGTCCCCGGCCGGCCGCCTGGATTCCTGCCGCCCACTGACCGTCCGGCGCAAGTCAGCGACACCCGCTTGGAGCAGCACGGCTCTCCGAAGCCGACCGCGTCGCGCAGCCACGCCCCCTGCGTGCGAGCGGCCGTCCCGTACGTCCCCACGCTGGCCTCCCAGCCGGACCGCGCCTGCGCCGTGAGCAATGGCTCTGCGGCCGCGCAGGCGCTCCCAGGCCTTGCCAGCGCGGCGGCGGCGCGGCGGCGGCGCGGCGGGTGATGGGAGTGCGCCCAGCCCGGTGCCGAGCCAAGTGGTACCGGAGCAGGCGGGGCGCGTACGCAGGCGCCGGGTGGCCGGGACGGGCGGCGTCCGGCGGGCAGGGGACGCGCTGGGACTGAGGAATGAAGAGCTGGCGGGCGGGGTCGCCGCGCCCACCTGGCCCCGGCAGAGATGGAGAAACTGATGCCGCCACAGCCCGCGGTTATTGCATTCGAATCAGCTAGGCAGTGAGTGCTGCTCAGCGTCAGGAGAGATGCCGGGGGCAGAGGCATCAGGGAGAGTTTGGGCACAGAGGGGCTGCAGCGCTCACCGCAACGGCAGGCCCGTAAAGTGCCCCTTGCTGGAAACCGTTAGGGCCTGGTTCGACATACTGCAGCTGAGGAGCGAGAGAGCAGGGCAGGTTTGGCCGCCAGGGCCCTCCACCTGCGTGCCTAGTGGCTGGCAGGTGGGGCCTGTGGGTTTTCTCGTGATGCGTCAGTTTGTGCTACCCCACCCGAGGCTGGACCCAGAGAGGACAATGAGGGCAGGCTGCCGGGGTTGGTGTACCCAGTCAGCACCCGGAGACTTGGGAAGAGCAAGCGGAAGATGAGGTTGGGTGCTCCCAACCTCAACCAAGGCGAACACACACATGGCACACCAGCTCCCTTTCTGCCCTGGTCTAGTGACTCCTTTCATGAAATGATCTCTGAAATGTTATCTGCACCTACACCCAATCTCACTCTCTTTGATCTTTGAAACGCCAATCAAAGATCACATTGTACCTTCACTGGGTCTGTGGGGCTTTCAGTTGCCTGGGCCAAAAAGAATAAAAGTGACACCCAGCCAGGAAATGCCTCCTTGAAGTGTGAATGAAACTTGTATTTTTCGGTTGTGTCTTTCCTAATTGACCTGATAATTTAAACTTCCTGCCTCAAAGGAGAGGAGGAGTTCCCCACAATTTGGTTTACCTCAGGCGCTAGGCAGCTCAGGCCAACTCAGGGCCAGTCAGCAAAGGGCAGGCAGCACGCTGTGCAAAAGATTAATCCCTCTGAGCCAGGCCATCAGTAAAGGCCTTTTTTGGTCCAAATTGCTTTTTTTTCTTTCAGGTCATCTTCTATGTATATATATTTTAAATTGTGGTAAAATATACGTGGTATATTTTAAAAATTTAAAAACTGTAGTAAAATATATACAAAAAATTATATAAAAATATATAATATAAAATTTACCATTTTAACCGTTTTTAAATGTACAATTCAGTGGCATTAAGTACATTCACGTTGTTATACAACCTTCGCCACTATCCATCTCCAGAACTTTTTCATTACCCCAGAGACTGTCCCCGTTAAACACTAACTCCTTACCATCACCTGCCCCCCCCAGCCCCTGGTAAACTCTACTCTACTTTGTCTATATTAATTTGCCTCTTCTAGGCACCTCATGTAAATGGAATCATACATTATTTGTCATTTCACTTAGAATAATGTTTTAAAGTTTCATCCATGTTGTAGCATCAGAATTTTTGTTCTTTTTTAAGGCTGAATAATATTGCATTGTATGTATAAACCACATTTTGTTTGTCCATTCATCTGTTGATGGACACTTGGGTTGCTTCCATCTTTAGGCTATTGTGACTAATGCTGCTGTGAACATGGGTGTACAAGTATCTGTTTGAGTCCCTGCCTTTGAGTCTTACATATATACCTGGGAGTGGAATTGCTGAGTCATATGGTAATCCTATGTTTAACTTTCTGAGGAACTGCCACACTTTCCCAGAGCAGTTGCGTCATTTTATATTGCCACCAGCAATGCACAAGGTTTCCAATTCCTCCACATCCTCACGAACACTTGTTCTGCTTTTTTTTGATAATAGCCATCCTCATGGATGTGAGATGGTATCTTGTGGTTTTAATTTACATTTCCCTAGTGACTAGTGATATTTAGCATCTTTTAAGAAATGTGCTTATTGGCCATTTGTATATCTTCTTTGGAAAAATATCAGTTTCAAGTCCTTTGCCCATTTTTTAATTGGGTTGTTTGTTTTGTTGTTGTTGAGTCATAGGAGTTCTTTGTATATTTTGGATATTAATCCCTTATCAGATATATGATTTGCAAATATTTTCTCCCATTCTGTAGGTTGTCTTTTCACTCTTTTGATCGTTTACTTTGATGCACAAAACTTTTTAATTTTGATAAAGTTGAATTACTCATTTTTTTCTTTTATTGTTTTGGTGTCATATCCAAGAAATCATTGGCAAATCCAATGCTGTGGAGATTTTCCCATTTTTTTCCTAAGAGTTTTATAGTTTTAGCTCTTATGTTTAGGTCTTTGATCCAGTTTGAGTTATTTTTTGTATAACTTGGTATAAAGTAAGGGTCCAACTTCATTCTTTTGCACGTGGACATCCAGTTTTCCCAACACCATTTGTTGAAAAGACTGTCCTTTCCCCACTGAATGGTTTTGGCACCCTTGTCACAAATCGGTTGATGGTACACAGAAGAGTTTATTCTGGGATGTCTATTCTATCCCGTTGGTTTCTGTGTCTGTGCCTATGTCAGCACCACAGGGTCTGGATTACTCTAGCTGCATAGTAGTTTTGAAATAGGGAAGTGTGAGTACTCCAACTTTGTTCTTTTTTTCCAAGATTGTTTTGGCTCTTTGGGGTCCTTTGGGATTCCATATGAATTTTAGGATGGGTTTTTCTATTTCTGCAAAGGCACCATTGGGATTTTGATAGGGATTACATTGAATCTGTAGATCACTCTGTGTAGTATGGATATTTTAACAATATTAAGTCTTCCAATCCATGAGTATGGAATATCATTCCATTTATTTAGGTGTGCCTTAATTTTTTTCAGTGCCGTTCCGTAGTTTTCAGTGTACAAATCTTTTGCCTCTGTGGTTGAATTTGTTCTTATGTATTTTATTCTCTTTGATGTTATTGTAAGTGGGACTGTTTTCTGAATATCCTTTTCAATTGCTCATTTTCACTGTATAGAGATGCAACCAATTTTTATGTGTTGATTTTGTATCCTGCAACTTTGCTGAATGCGTTTATTAGCTTTAACAGTATTTTAATGGAATCTTTAGGGTTTTTTACATGTAAGATTGTGTCATCTGGGAACAGAGATAGTTTTGCTTCTTCTCTTCCAATTTGAATGCCTTTATTTCTTTTTCTTGCCTTATTGCTCTGGCAAGGACTGCCAGTACTATGTTGAATAGAAGTGCCAAGAGCGGGCATCCTTGTCTTTTTCCTGATCTTAGGGGAAAAGTTTTCAGTTTTTCACCATTGAGTAGGATGTTGGCTGTGGGTTTTTCCTATGTGTGCTTTATCATATTGAGGAGGTGTCCTTCTATTCTTAGTTTATTGAGTGTTTTATCATGACGAGGTGTTGAATTTTGTCAAATGCTTTTTCTGTATCAATTGAGATGATCATATTTTTTTTCTCCTTTCTATTGATATGGTGTATTATATTGATTTTGATATATTTTTTAAGTGATTTTAACTTCTCTTTAGGCTGGATCCTTAACAGGACCCAGCTCTGCCTTTTCACAAACAGACAGTGAGGTGGGGTGAGCTAACTTTGCTGAGAGCCCGCAAGCCCACCAAGTACTCAGCATGTGCCCTCAAGGTTGTCAATCTTTTTAATTTTAGTCATTCTGGCAGGAATGGAGAGGCAACTCCTTATGGTTTCAATTTCCACTTTTCTGGTAACTACTGATGTCCACGTTTTTATGTGGTTGCTTGTCATCTTTTATTAATTTGTGAGAGTTTTGCATACATTCTGAATTGAAAAGTCTTTGTCAGATATATGTATTGCAAATATGTTCTCTTAGTCTGTCTCTTGCCTACTCATTTTTTCTTTTCTTTTCTTTTTTTTTTTTTTGCTGAGGAAGATTCGCCCTGAGCTAACATCTGCCGCCAATCTTCCCATTTTTGTATGTGAGCTGCCACCACAGCATGGCCACTGACAGATGAATAGTGTAGGTCTGTGCCTAGGAACTGAACTCACACTGCCGAATCAGGGTGCACTGGGGCTGGCCCTGCCTATTCATTTTCTTAATGGTGTCTTTTGAAAAGCAGGAGTTTTACATTTTGATGGCTTGTGCTTTTTGCACCCTAAGAAACTTTGCTACCCCAATGAAGATTTTCTCCTATGTTTACCACTAGAAGTTCTGTCATTTTAGCTTTCACATTCTGGTCTGTGGTGTATTTTGAAGTAATTTTTGTGTATGATGTGAGTTATGGGTTGAAGTTCATTTTTATCCATATAGACATCCCATTGTTCTAGCACCATTTGCTAAAAAGAGTATCCTCTTTACTGCATTGCCTTGGCACTTTTGTTAAAATCTAATTACTACACTGTGTGGGTGTACTTTCGGACCCTCTATTCTGTTCCACTGATCTTTGTCCTTAGGCCAAAACATACTGTATTGTTTATTGAAGATTTTTAGTAAGACTTGAGATCAGATAGTGTAAGTCTTCTGTGAGATAATAGAAAACATACATTGGTCTCTGCCCCCAGTTCCTGACAGAGGGCTCCTGAAAGCCTTGTGATTGCCTGGGTGATGGGTGCATCTTTTCTTCTAATGAGGCAACTCTAGGTGGGCCCCTGGATGGCTCCTGGATGAGGGCTGGTCGCTGGAAAGACCAAGCCATGATTCGAAGCTTGGAATTTTCAGCCCCATTCCCCACTCTCTGGAGAAGGAAAAAGGGCTGAAAATGGAGTTAATGCCCTATCGTGCCTACTGATGAAGCCTCCATAAAATCCCAAACATATGGGGTTTGTGGAGCTTCCAGGCTGGCCAACACATCCACACATTGGGAGGGTGACACACCCCAATTCTGTGGGACAGAAACTCCTGCACTCAGGAC